TGACCTACATTTAGAAGGTCTTAAATCTTACAAACCCTCCTATAGATAGCAGAGACGTGTTTGATTATTCTACAAGCATTGTAGTAGGTTCTAAGAGCTATAACAAGATGGTGGAGTTTCTTTTTGGGAGGATGTATTCTGGTATCTTGAACTAAGGATATCTTAAGCCTAAATTTATTCTCTCCAACCTCTTCCTCAAGTTTGACTTATATTTCAGTGTAGCCTAAACCACCCTTAGCATCCGGGATGTAGTATGGTGCTTTCAATAGTTAGAGGTCATATTTTTTTCTTTTTATTCTGGACATATATATTCTTTTGTGATGCTTGAGATACTTGGTCTACACTAACTTATTATCCGCATTCTGGTTGATAGATAGTTTGCTGGGTAAATTCCATAAATTTGCATGCTCACTTTCCTGTTGTATGCACATATTTTTAGATTTTTTTGTTTTTTGTTTTTATTTTCTTTTAAGGATTTTTTTCTTTTTTTCTTTTTATATATACAAAACAAAACAAAAGTTTTTCTTTCTTTCTTTTTGTTTTCTTTAAAAAAAATTGACTTGTCTATGTATATGCTTTTACAAGACTGATTCAAATAATATTAACTTTTTGGTATATAGGCTTGATTATGTCACACAGGTTCACATATGGTTTTCAATCTACACATATTTATTTGCTGCACATAATGACTAAATGATGATTACATAACATGTTGTTTACGTGATATTTGATGCAGTAATTTCACACACCTATTTTTATATTTATTATATTGTGATGTGAAATAGTGGTAGAGAGTCTTATTTTTTATTTATAGATATTTTTGATTATATCAAGTGTTTTTGAGCTCATTCTTGACTTGACTATTATACAAATCTTTATCTTTATATGTACAAAAGTGTATTTATTCAAAATATTAATTAAACAATAAGGGTGTATTCATTAAAAGTTGATCAAAGATCCACACTCTTTTAAAATCCATAAAAAATTGAGCGTATTCATTAAAAGATAGTCAAAGATCGGTGCTCGTGGATTTGCGTTTGTACATATCTCAAAGGGTATCCATCCTGTACTTATTATATTTTATATTTAGAGATGGTGTGAATCGTCTGCCAAACAATATCATTATTTTCTCCTAAATCCTATAGCATTGAGGTGGTAGGGTGACACTTTGGTCCTTAGTATCTATGGTTGAGATAGTTCAAGTCTTATTAATTGTTCAATATTCACTTTGAATTTGTCCAGTGAACTAGTATAAATGTTTTTACTATTTATTTAGTTTACACTAATATTTTATCTTTTATGTGTGTTTTTCGACGTGTTTTCTCTTCTATTCATGTGTTTTGTCATTAAACTTTGGTCTATTATGCTATTTTTCTATAAATTTTTATGTGAATCAGTGTGTTTCTCTCTTGTACACTTTTTGGATGATTTTTTATAAATTTCTTATTTGCAATATATCAATTGGCGCATTTTGTTAACAAATGATATGCAAAGCTCCTCCTACATTCAGGCATTCATGAAAATTGTAATCTAGTACAAGTATTGAAAAACTCTCCCTAAAATAATGCATCGAGTTTTTCAAGAAAATTTTTAAGGGCTTTTCACTATTAGTCCCGTAAATCTTTCATTGCTATTAAGTCCATCAAATGATTGAACTTTCTATTAGATCCCCAAATTTTAAAGTTATTTTGAAATCATCCCCTCAAATTATTGAAAAATATTATTAAGTTTTCTAATTCTTGTAATCTTTTTAAAAATAATCTCTTTAGATGTTCTTTTACCCTTGAATAAAGGGAGTAATTTTAAAATATGTTAAGAATCAAGGAACCTAATAGTAATTTTAATGATTTTGAGGGATTAAATTTTATGTCGCTTAAGAATTATAGGACCCTATAGAAAATTAAATGATTTTAGGGATTAATTTACAAATATGAAAGATTTAAGGACTAATATCGGAACTTTTTTTTAATGTAGGTTGGTTTCAAATTAATTGGAGATAAACATTTGGGTTTATTAGGAAAATAAGAAATTGAAAAAGAAGGAAACAATTTTTTAAAGAAGGCGGATAAGAAAATCATTGAAACTGCTATTAGTGTCAAAATTTTATAGTTATTTCCCGTTTAGTATTGTTGTTTTTAAGGGTGATTCGGCTTATTTTTTCAAGAAGCATCTAATAATTTATTTTTGACTTGCTTATTGAAACTGCTTCTACTTTTAAGGAAATAATTTTAGAAGCAATCTAATGATGCTTTCATTATATATATCATACTCCCTTTAAAAGCACAAGTTCGGAAAAATCTTTTCATGGTCAATATTACCCTTCACTATTTTAATATTTTATTAATATCTTAATCTATCCTAATTATAATTATATTATATCCTAAACCTACGTGAACTAGCTATACCTCAACAATTTAAAAAATATTAATAAAATATATAAACCAACTTTACGGTATTAGTTTGTTAAGATAAAGAAATTTTATGTATCTAATACTATATAATACATGAAATATTATTAAAAAAATCTAAAAAGTTTTAAAATTGCACAAAATACCCTGAAAAGTTTAAAATTATATAAAAACATCCTAACGTTTCAAAACTTAAAACAACAAACATTAATCAAGAAATCAACAACTATCTATAATCAACAACTATCTATGAAAAATTAAAATTTGCAGTTAACTCTTGAATGTCTCAAAAACTATAGAAACACCCTCAAAAGTTTAAATTACAAATAAGCACCCTAAAATTCTAAAATTTCAAAACTTTGAAACAACATAAATGAATTTAAGGGATTACCATGATGCACCTAAATTTTTTTTAACATTTCAAACTTAGAACAACAAACATAAAACTAAAAAAGTTAATAGCAGCCTCTGAAGAATTTAAAATTTTTAATTAACACCCTCAATATCTCATAAATTATAGAAACACACTTAAAATTTCAAATTATAAAAAACCATCATAAAATTATAAAATTTTAAAATTTACAAACAACAAAAGAGAATTCAAGAGATTATCTTCATGCACCTAAAAATTTTATCAAAAGTAACCTTAAAGTTACAAAAATTATAACAAAAAACTTCTTTACAATTTAAAATCACAAAAAACTCTAAAATTTCAAAATTTATAATAAGTACATATTAAATCTGGAAATTATTAGTAGATCGTTGATATTTGAGTTTTTCAAAAATTAATCTACAATTAGGGTTTACTATCCCTTTTCAGGCTCTAAAAGTAATCTAAGTTGATGCTTGTAAACAAAAGTAAGAATTGACTAAAAATAATCGGTCAAGAAATAAAAATTTTAAAAATATATATAGCTTTAAAATTATTGTAACTATATAATTAAAAGTAACTGTATGTAATTTTACTAATAAGTTGGAGCAGCAAAAATACATTAGTAATATTAATTAATAGATGTTTAAATCCATAAAAATGATAAAAGACTATAATATAATAGCTTAGCATCGATTGATTATAATTTAGAAACATTAATCTCCAATGTTAATAATATTTATAGGGTATAACAATGCAAGGAGTTACATATGGAGAAATTATCAAAATGTTCAAATATATCATTCAAAAGAATCAAGTTATTTCCATTGCTAATGAGAAAGTGACAGAAATAAATAAATAAAGCACCAACTGAGTTTCATTAAAGAATAATTTAATAACTTTATCTCAATCAAAAAAGAATTCTCCATAGAAGATACAAGAAAAATTAGTAAGTATTCATAAATTTCATACTTTGTTCTTCAAATACTAAAGAAATTAAATATTAATACTATAATATAAGGCAAATTGTTAATAAAAAATGCAGGCATTTAGTTCAGATCTTTGTGGAAAATGACAGGGATAGAGCAATGGTAACATTATTGATATAATAGAAACTCTTATTAGATGCACATTAGAAAAATTCATTGTAGAGGAAAAAGAAATAGCTTCTAATCTTATTTAAGTAATAAATTAGGAACACAAATAATTATATACATATAAAATTAAAATTTATTCTCATTGAAATAGGAAAAATAAATAAATTAAGTCTGTATTTCAAGAAGTTTGTGTCGAACATTAGAAATTCATTAGACTTCTTTGTGAAGTTAAATGAGAAGATAAAAGATAACAGTGCAAATAATATAACTTCAGCATGATGTCACAATCGATGTAGATGATGAAGACACTATTCTAGAATTACCCAGGAAAAGGATAAATGTGAAGAATGATTAATCTTAGCTTAATTAAAAATTAAAATAGAATGAATAAAAGATAATTTTTTCTGAATGTTTTATAGAATAGTTTAATTGTTTTGAATGAAATTAGGAATCTTTAGAAGAGAATTTTATAAACTTTTTTTAGTATTTTTTTTATGTTTATGTGGATACTTTTATCATATAAATATACTAGAGGTAGCATTAATATTTAGTTTATAATTTTTATGAAGTATATTAATGATTAAGAATAAATTTTATATTCTATGTTCTATCATTTTAGTATACTTTTAATCAATCATCTTGTCTTATTGGTTTTAAATATTCACCTTTCTTGTATAACACTATTTTATTTTTTACTTTTGCAGCACTGTACTTTCTCAAGTAAAGCTTGGGTTTATTTCAGTCCAAATAATATGAAAATTCAAATTAGCTTCAGATTATATTTGTTTTCTATAAATTCAAATATCAACATGAAATTTTAGATTAGCTATAACTTATTTAAACAAACATCAAAGAAAATAAAGAATCGCAATGTTAAAGTTTACAGAAAAAAGTAAGCACAAACTAATAAAGTGGAACTGATGAACAAATTTTAGTTAGAAAATAAGCCAAAAATAATTAATCATGATATCTAACCACGTGCATTGCACGTGCAAAAAACCCAGCGGCCCCACATGTGATTTTTAAAAAAAAAATCACATATGGGGCCACTACACTGTAGCTAGAGAGGGAGTGTGGTTGGTGATGTGTCTAATCTGATGTGTGCCTGTAGCGCCTCCCATATATATAATACATTTAACGTTACTTTGAAATTTTAATGGACTAAGCTCTGCTTTATTTCTAGCCGTTGCTTACCGCCTCGCGGCTTATTTCAAACTTCTCTAATGCTCTCCAGCTCTGTTCCATGCCTAGTTCCCTCTTCACACTCTCCTTCTTCTCTACTCCTCAATCTAAAGTCCACCAAAACCCTAAAAGATTTACGCCAACTCCACTCTCTAGCAATCAAAACTGGGCAAATCCATAACCCATTAACAGCTGCTGAGGCTTTAAGAATCTCTGCTCTGTCTAACCCCCCAGATCTTCAATATGCCCGTAAACTGTTCGATCAAATGCCGGAACCAAACCTCTTCTCTTACAACACTCTCATTCGAGCATTCTCCGAATCTGATGACAACCCTTTGGAAGCCTTACAAATTTTCCTCCAACTTCTACACTATGAACCCCTCCAACCCAATCGCTACACTTTCCCCTCGATTCTTAAGGCTTGTGCTCGGATTAAAGGATATGAGCATGGGAGGCAAATTCATTGCCTCATTGTAAAATTGGGAATTGCCCATGATGGGTTTGTTTTTACCAATTTAGTTCGTATGTATTCAGTTTGTGGGTTGATGGATGACGCACAAAGTTTGGTCAGAAAGAGCTCATTTTTATCAGGTAATGAAGCGGGTATTGTGCTGAATAACATTCTCATTGATGGGTATTTCAGGCTTCGGATGATTAGAGAAGCAAGAGAAGTTTTTGAGACAATGAGTAATAGAACCGTGGTTTCTTGGAATGGGATGATATCTAACTTGGTAGAGATTGGATTGTTTAAGGAAGCTATAGACATCTTTCATCGCATGCAAGTTGAGGGGATGAAGCCTAATTATGTGACCCTGGTTAGTGTTCTTCCAGCCATTTCAAGGATTGGAGCCCTTGAATTGGGGAAATGGGTTCATCTATATGCTGAGAGAAGCGGGATTGTAGTAGATGATATTCTAGGCTCGGCATTAGTTGATATGTATTCAAAATGTGGGAACATCGAGAAGGCAATCCAAGTCTTTGAGGGATTGCCAAAGGGAAGTCCTATCACTTGGAATGCGTTGATCAGCGGTCTAGCGATGCATGGTCAAGCTAGACAAGCACTCAAATACTTCAAAGCAATGGAGCAAGCAAGCGTTTCTCCTAGTGATGTAACCTTCATTGGCATCTTGAATGCATGTAGTCATGCTGGCTTTGTTTGTGAAGGCCGAAATTACTTTGATATTATGGTGAAAGGTTATGGTTTAAGACCAAGGCTTGAGCATTATGGATGTTTGGTTGATATGTTAGGCCGAGCAGGACGTATTGAAGAGGCCGTGGAGATTGTCAAGAAAATGCCCGTGAAGCCTGATGATGTAATATATAAAGCTTTGCTCTCAGCGTGCATGCTCCATGAGAATTCTGAACTAGGAGCATGGGCAGCAAACAAACTTGTCGAATTGGCTCCTTATGATAGCGGATGCTATGTTCTTTTATCTAACCTCTATGCCTCTATGGGTGACTGGGAGGCTGTTGCCAATGTGAGGCTAAAGATGAAGGAACTTGACATTCGTAAGGATCCTGGATGTAGTTGGATTACAGTTGATGGAATAGTTCATGAGTTTGTTGTTGAAGATGATACGCACCCGAGAGCAACAGAGATTAAATCGATGTTAGAGGAAATGGCTGATAAACTAAGATCAGAAGGTTATGTACCAGATACCCGAGGTGTGCTGGTTAATATTGATGAAGAAGAGAAGGAGAGTGCAGTGTTGCACCATAGTGAGAAGATTGCGCTTTCTTTTGGATTAATTAGTACAAACCCTGGGGTTTCTCTGCAGATTGTGAAGAACTTGAGGATTTGTGCAGATTGCCACGAGTCTATAAAGCTTGCTTCAAAGATTTATGGTCGGAGGATCATAGTGAGGGATAGAATCCGATTCCATCATTTCGAAGATGGGTTTTGCTCTTGCAATAATTATTGGTGATATAGCTATCATTGCTGAAAAGTTTGCTTTCTCTCAGTACAGATTTTTGGTTGTATTCTTATTTTTCAATTTGGGCATCTGTTACTTTTCTTTTGCTTTTCACAGGATTAGCAGATTGGATACATGAATGAAGCTGGCAGCCAGCACTTTTAGTAAAAATTCCGTGCATTATTTTGGGTTTATTTGGTTAACGTTCGATGCAGGCACTTGTTTTTTTGGCTGTAACTCTTGCATTGCAGCCTTCTCGGAGATTACTAGGTTTGTCATTTAGATACTCCTCTTAATTTACTTGAATATTTCATGTTCTATAATCAAGTCATGACACTCAATACGTAGTTTTCCAGTCATGCAGTCATAGCATTCAATAATTGAACTTAGATTCATTTACCATTTTGTGTATCTGCTTCTTTTTTTTCCCTCTCCATAAGTTTGGGCGTGCTTACTTGACATTCCATGATGGCACTAGTTTTTCTTGCTGTTAATTCTCTTGCAATGCAACATTCTCAGGGTTTTCTTTGTGGTTTGCCTTCTAGATTCTCCTCCTAACTTACTTAAATGTGTCATGTACTGTAATCAAATCAGAAATATAGATGCCACATACATTTTCATTCGTCCAGTCATGTCACTCGTAATTAAACTTAGAATCAGCTGAAAAGATTACAAATAACAACAATAGAACAAACAAATAGGGGGCCTCAGAGGCTCTGTAGGAGCTTCAAGGTCTCGTCCACATGCTTCTCTGGTTGGAATTGGTTGTTGTAGACCAATTGGACCACCCCTTTCTTATCCAGTACGTACGTTTGTCTCCCTGGTAGCGTACCGAAAAGATCAGATGGAACCCCCCACTCTTTTCTGACCTTGTTTCCCTCATCACTTAGCAAGGTGTATGGCAGTCTGTACTTCTTTGCAAATGCCTGTGAAAAAAAAAACCCATTGATTCTGATAACATTAGGGCGAGCAACTATACAATACGTGTTGCCTACCCTAGCTTAGGAACAATTTCACAACTCACCCCCCTACAACCACACCCCACCCCCCACCCCCACCCCACCCCCCAAAAAAAAAAGGAAAAAAAGAAAAGAAAAAGAAAAGAGAAGAGGTGTAAATCACTTGTACAAAACTGCTTTGAACTATTTGGAAATTCTCTTAAATTGGCGTTGACGGATAGATAATTAAGTCTACACTACTTTTTTTTTTAAAACACTTTTTACCCACCCTTGTCCAAAAACAGTACAGAAGTTACATTTAGTAGATAGGATAAATTTGTCTAATAGAGTAAAAGCTAACCGTTCAATAGGGTCGTTGGATACCCTTTCCCCTATGTATGTAGCCAAGCTTGCAAAGTAAAGATGTAAGTAAATGATTAGATACCTTGTGGGAAGAAGAGTCATCCCCGCTTATTCCTACCACCTCGGCTCCTGCCTTCTTGAACTTTTCGTAGGAATCCCTGAAGGCACATGCCTAATTCATTCAAAAGTTGGTTAAAATGATTTATGTACTCAATATAGTTCCCATTTTGTCTTCTTAGTGCTGTGTGAAAAAGATTATGTCTAGTTGGTTCTTGATTAAGAATCTCTAGAAGTGTTCACTAACTCGAACCAAACCAGACGCTGACCTGTTTGGTGCACCCAGGGGTCTCATCAGCAGGATAGAAATAAACCACAACTGGCTTGCCTTTAAATTTGGAGAGGCTCACATTCTTTCCGTCTTGGTCTTTCAATGTGAAGGAAGGAGGCACGCCACCTTTCGACACCTAAAACAAAGCAAGACCAATCCAAGTTCCATTTCAAGAACAAAGCAACACGATATTGAGATCGATGAAAGTCATATCGTCAGATTTGTAGGCAAAACCAACCTCTCTTTGAAGAGCTTGACTTCATTAACATAAGGGTTAATTGCATTTTAATGTCCTAAAGTTCCACCAGTTTTTTAACTTTGACGCCTTCAGGTTTAAACTTGCTCAAAAAGATGTACCTCAAAGTTTCACCCGCTTTTAACTTTAATACCTTCTGTTACATCATCGTTCAGAACCATGCTCAAGACACGTCACATGATAATATTTCGCCTTTATACCCCTAGAATAAAAAAAGAAATTCCTCTCCAATCCTCCTCCTTCGCCTTACAGCTATTTAACCCTAAAACCAGCTGAAAATTAAAAGCATTAGCCTATTTCTTCTCTTTTCGAAATAAGAAAAACAACACCTATTAACAATATTCATAGCCAAAATGCAAAACTGATGGGGATATTGTCATCGAACACTATCTCCATAAGCTAACGGTACAGGTCATGTCTTAAGAACTTGGGGAAATCTTTTGGGCGAATTTAAACTTCAGGTTATCAAAGTATATCGCCATTCTCCATCCTTTGCGTAACGTGACAGTTTACTTTCAGGAAATCTAAACATCCATTGTAAGAGTTACGCTCAGAATTGCGACACCACAATTACGTTATATTTCTTAGCCTAGTGGATAGACTATTGTAGCATATAATTCAAAGCTGACCAAAATCACTCTTTTGAAAACTTATCCAAGTGCTTCAAAGAAGAAAGATTGAATACCTTGGCACAAATGAGACTCTTTGGAGGAACACAAAGAGGTGAATAATTGACTAGTGTTGTTGGGAGCTTGAGGCCATAGATTTGGGACTGCGACGATCTTGCAATGATCGGCAGGGAGCGAGGTGGTGAGCTCTTAGGATTTCTAGATTGGAATTGAATAAAGGGATGAATGTGGTTTGAAATAGAGGAGCAAGCCATTGAGAAGAGATGGGAGGATTTGGTTCCCTGTGTTTTTGGGAGGAGAAAGGAGGGAGGGGTTGAGGCTGGCTCTTCATGTGGTAATGAGAAAATTTCATATATGGATTGGATTTTGGGTGTGGCCAATTGGTGGCCTTTGTCTAGGATTTTTCTCTTTTTACCGTGACCCATGCTTAATGACCCATGGTTTTGGTCATCATTTGTGAGGTTAGTTTTGGTATAAAAGATAGATTGCTGGAGACCGAGAGTTGGTAACGAAGTTAATAGTATGGTAAATTTCACGAAAACTATAATGAACTATTAACAGTTTTTTCAAGGGAACCGCCTTGAAGTATTTTTACTGGAGAAAAGTTTCCTATCCGTACAATTTGTTAGCATTGTGTAGTATCTAAAAACATGAATTACTTTTCAAAGCAAGTTCAACATGACAAGTTAACAAAATTCCGACACTCTAAAGTACCATTTTGTCTATTTTCCCTGATAAACTAAGTGTATATAGCTAATGTGGTTATTTTCTTAGCCCAATATCAAATATCTAGCAGATTGATGACGTGTGAGTTTCGTTTCTTTTCTCTTTTTTTTTTTTTTTGCATTTATTGTATTTTCTGCAATTCAAAAACTATTTTTTAATTACAAAAAGAAATAAATGATAAAAGGTATTGGAGGAAATAGTCAGCATTGTTTTTTTATTGGGGAAAAAGGAGACAAATCGATAAAAAAGTCATGAAGAAATTAAAAAAACACTATCATGTCATTAATTTGTTAATTATTTAGACATGAGCTCATAACATTGAATATATGCACGTAGTTTAGAGGGGGAAATAGACAAATTGGTACTTTAGAGTGAAAGTGTTATAAGTATACTACTAAACACAAAGAAGAAGCAAGGTCCATAGCATCAGCATGACACTATTTTACTTTAGCAATTTACAAGAAAGGATCCCCTTTTTATTAATTGTACTGCAAGACATTGACATTCTCCCAGACAGTACCTCCTCCAAAACAGTGAAAGGAAGAAAAAAGTCTTAGAGCATCTCCAACAGCTTCCCCATCTTCTTGAAATACTCAAATTTGGAGAATATAGAGCTTTTTGATGGGCTCCGAGTACGCGCCCCGGGGGTCGTATTTATAGAGAGGTGAGTGTGCACGTGGCGAGTTTTCATTGGATGTCTGTCCTCGTGGGGCGAGGGTCATGCAAAAAGGAAGCACGCACCTTGCCTGTTATAGGGCTACGCATAGGAGTTTGTATGCGACCATTAAGCATCGCCGTTAAATAGAGGAAACTGAAGGTCTCACCTTCGGATTTCTATGCGGGAGGTCTCCTGTGATTTGGGTTTTCGGCGGAGGGCCGCTTCGTGCGGGGGCGTAGCTGGGGCCCTTTCGTAGAGGACGCGTGGGTGGAAGAGAGAATGCCACGTATGTTGATCTCTGGGTGGGGCCCAGGAAGGTGCTGGAATGGGGGAGACGAGAGGTTGACGGCGTTAGCCGTTAGCGTCGCTGGTTTTTGTGCCGGTGACACCCATTTCCGTTACGAGTAACTGAGTAAGAGCATCTCCAACAGCTTCTCCATCTTCTTGAAATACTCAATTTTGGGGAATATAGAGCTTTTTTTTGGTCCAACAGATTCCCCATCCCATTCCCCAAAATAGGGAAGGAGGAGAAAAAATAGGGCGCCTTCCCCAAATCTACAGCATTCTCCAAATTTTTGGGGAGAGCTTTATTATTGTAATAAATGCGATTTTTTAAAATGGGGAAGCTGTTGGAGTTGGAGCAAAAATAATTTGGAGAATATGACTTTTGTTTCTCCATTTTGGAGAAAATTTTGGGGAAGCTGTTGGAGATGCTCTTAAGCAGGTGGATAAACTTGCATCTCAACAACTCTGTTCTTCTCTTCAATCGAGGGGTATAAGCAGGTGGATAAACTTGCATCTCAACAGCTCTATTCTTCTCTTCAGCTGAGGGGTAGTTTTGATTCAGTGCAAACGTAAGGGCAATGCAAGTGTTAGCTGTATGCTAAAGGCTTCAGTGTAACTATAATTGCAATGCAACTATTAGCCGTATGAAAAAACCTTCTTATCCAAAACATCAACAAATCCCAAGATTGAGATACAAAAACCACCATATGCGTCAAAACTCAAAGAAAGAAAGGATTTAGTAACTTATCATTTAAAATTTGGGACGAGACGGACTTATTACATATCATTTTAACTAGGAATATCAAACTTTTTTTCCAAACAAAGGCCATAACCCAGCTTTATTAATGTGCCAAGCCTCACTGGCGAAAAAACTCAAGTTGAGCAAAAGATATCACTTCTATATTTTGTGTACATATATATTCAACCAAAAATTTACAGCATTTACATATGCCTTTTAGTTTCATCTCAGAGCAGAAACAACTCGAATGGCTCTCTCCACGGTACAATGTTCTGACATGGGCATCAGCCCTGAGAAAATGAGAAGTGAACATTCTGAGGCAATATATAGGCGAATATAAGAACATTGTGAAGTGACACATTAGCGATTCGAAATAGAGACCTGGAAAAAATGGGAATAAAGGCTTCATTGTCATTGTCGTTATAAAAATACAATATTTTAGTATTGTACCCTATAACATGTGTTATATCAGTATAAGTTGAGTGTAATAATAAATTTTTTTGGCTATGTTTAAGACCTGAAGTCTCTAAGTATTTGCTTTTGAATTGTTTGTTAGGCCTTGATTGCTTCTTGCTTGATCATGATTGATATTCAGTGACATCATTATGCTTGTGATTCTGAATTTATGATTTGTGAAAGTGAATATGAAATTATGAACGAGAAATACAGTTTTGTGATGATACCTTCAGACATTTTATTGAGATACTTGTGAGTAAATTAGTGTATCTTGTAACGAGATTAGAATTTTTACCAAGACATATATTATTTTATTTTAGAATCATTGTGCTATTTATTAAAATTATTTTGGATATTTTAATTTTTTTAAACAAAAATATAACATGTAACCTACTCTGTGTTATGCTATATGTGCTTTAATCTGTTGAGAAGTTAACCATTATGTGCTTTAATCTATCAAGAAGTCAGACGTTACGTTATACAAACCTGATCACTATACATCATCAAGCGGACACAAAGATGTCATGCATCAAATCCATATTGTGAACCAACACACATTATCCGGATTTATCTTGGATGCTGAGGTAAGTTATTAAATTAATATTGTGAACCAACACACATTATCTGGATTTTGAAATTACTCTAGGAAGGATGAATAGGGTAATCAAATAATAAATGTGTAATTAATGAAATTCAATGCAACCCAAGACACAATATAACAATAAGGCAATAAATGAGAGAGAGAGAAAGAGGGTAAGAAAATAATTAGCCAAATGAAGGCTCGATGTGTTCATGAGGTTCGGTCCTCTCGACCTACGTCCCCAACCACCTCTCCCGATGGTAATCCACAAATCACAACCCGGTTTGAAAGCCGAAACTTCTACACAACGATCTCCTCGAGATCTCACAATCCACACAATGATCTACTCGAGATCAAGCTCTCCATACGATACAATAAGATGGAAAAATCTTTCTTACGACAATCCTATAGCAAGGATTAAAAGATGATAATTGAAGCTTGGGGTTGTGGGATTTTAACGTGAAAGACCGAAATTGAGTAAGATGAAAGTTTAAGCTCAAAACACACAAAAACACAAACTCAAGTATATTTTCTTGCTTGCTTTTGTTCCTGAACAAATGGGGGCTGGAAGATATTTATAAGCACTCAAAACAATAGCCCAAATCCCAAGAAAATCCTCAAAGCCAACAAAATCCCCAAAATCTCGGAGTTCGGAAAAATGACCGTTACAGTACTTTCGATCGATCGGTGGACCATGGTCGGTCGACCGATGAGTCGACCTTTGGCTGAAACAGCAATTTGGAAACACCGTCGGTCGACCGATATGTATGTATCGGTCGACTGGTCACCTATCATCGGTCGACCGATGAACATGTATCGATCGACTGATGAGCGCCAGCCTACAGGGTCTGAGAACCTGTTTCTGATCGGTCAACTGGTTGCACTTTGCGGTTGACCGATGAAGGGGTTTTGGTCGACTGATTAAAGAGTGTCAGTCGACTGATAACAGATACATACAGACACTTGATTAAAGAGTGTCAGTCGACTGATATTCTAAAATGATTTAAAATATTAAATCAACTCTAAAAATAATAAAACTTGGGAGAATACTTATAAATATGAAAATGGGTATGTTAGAGAAGAAAATTTTCAAATAGCACCTTGTATTTGTGAAAATCATTATTTCGCCAAAACGTCAAAAATATGAGTTTTGAAAAGGTGTGTGTGATCCCCAAATGCTTCAAAAGTTATCTACGTTAATTCTTGCCTACATTATGATCCAGATAGAAAATAAAAATTTAAATACCGCTCACAAATGTATACAACGCTTGAGACTCGATATTTGCTAATTTGTTGATGAAGCTCCTCTTGTATATGTTGTGTTTGAAAGCTCTTCTTCATTAAATTGCCTCCACCTCCATGAATATCATCGTTGTGGTGCAAAATTTCATCCATCCTCCAACAGTGGCACTAAAATGCTTGATAAAATACATCCTGCGTTATATCACTCAACAAGCAATTAATATAAATAATGGGGTTTGTAAATCATCATCAAAATAAGAGACCTAACAATCTCCCCTTTTTTGATGATGATAAACCACCATTATACAAGAGCATAAATAAAATTATGACTTATAGATAGTTGCTCCCCCTATCTATAAGACTCTCCCCCTATCTATGTGCATAAAGCGTAGGACATTTTTCTCCTCCTTTGTCACCATCAAAACGGGGCATAAAAAGATGTACATGTTGTAGATCTCACAAGACACTCCTCTAAGTGTTGGCCTACCCGTGTCACATTCCTCAAGTGTTTAGATTTACTACCTCTCCTTACGCTTTACTACCAACCCACTCTGTTGTGTGCCGCGGAAGCCAAACAACCAAACCAACGTGCTACAAGAAATCAAATCAAACGAACGTCGAGAGAAGGCCAAACGAACCAAATCAATACCACAAAC